ATACATGTGAATGAATGCATGCTGCACATGTGCTGTGGACATGGATATGTCTCTAAGGCATGCATGAACGAGCCTGTATGCATGCAGGTCCCCACAGAGACTTAGGCAGTGGTGTGCTGGAAAAGTTCTAATGACTAGCTCTCCATTGAAAAATATCCCTAGCCTGTAATCCCAGCTACTCAGGAGGCCAAGATCTGAGGATCATGGTTCGAAGCCAGAGTAGGCAGGAAAGTATGAGACTCATCTCCAAAAAGCCAGAAGTGGTATGACTCTAGTGATAGACCTGCCTTGAGTGAAAAAGCTAAGAGACAGTGCCCAAGACCTGAGTTCAGGCCTCAGGATGGGTACACACACACATACACACACACACACACACACACACACACACACACACACACACACACATAATTTGTCCATTTCTGTGAGCCCTCCACCATGGCTGCCCCAGCTGCCAAGGCATGGCCACTGAACCACACGAGTCCTGTGGTTGTCCCACAGGAGATAATCTGTAGGATCTGGCCAGCACACCTGGAGACTGGGAGGGGTGTGTGTGTGTGTGTGTGTGTGTGTGTGTGTGTGTGTGTGTGTGTGTGTGTATGTGTGTGTGTGTGACAGTGAGTAGCTCATGGCTAAGCTCCTGCTGTGGCCAGCTTAGGAGGAGTCTGCAGGCTAGCTGGGGATGCTTCTTTGCAGAGCTGGTACATCAGTGAAGCAGAAGGTGATTGGCCACAGGCCAGCTCTCTCCATCTCCCTTGGAAGCCTGTCCAAGCTGATGCTCCTTGTTAGGCCAGATGAGACACTCCCTGAGACATCGCCTGCCCTCACCCTTACAGACCAATGCTCAGGAAGGCCAGAGAGGCAGAGGAGGAAGAGGAGGGAGCAGGGAGTTAGGCAGAGGAGAGGAAGAACTGGACAGACTGGGGCTCTGAGCTTTCCCAAAGACATTTCTCTGGTCCCATCATAGCCTCCAGCTAGAGTTTTCTTCTATAAAGGACAGGTCTTCTGGACTCACAACTTTTTATCTACCCCTCTGGAGTCAGAGACTTGGGCTATGAATATTATGCTCTCCATTCAAAAGCCAGAGAGAGAGAGAGAAGAGGGAGAGAGAGAGAGAGAGAGAGAGAGAGAGGCAGACAGATAGACAGATAGGCAGGCAGGCAGGCAGACAGACAGACAGACAGACACAGAATTGCTTCAAATGGGATGCTGGGAGTTGCAAAAAGCAATTAAAGAAATCCATTGAAATGAGGACCAAGCTATACAAAAAAATTCTTAATTTCATGTACCAGGATTGTTTTCTGTTTGTTTGTTTTTCAGGTTTCTGCTTTTTAAAATTTTTTTTTCTGTTAACAGTCAGAAAAAACAAAAAGACCCACCAAGAAAATAAAATGGAAGTTGTTTCCTTGAACTGCTTGGAGCCGAATACAAGCCGTCACCCACCATAGGAAGACGTGCCCTGGCGGGGGGGTCTCTACCAGGTCCCTTTCTTCCCTGCCCCCTAGCCCTTTCTGCCACCTCATGTACCAGAGGCCTTCTTTTTTTTTATTTATTTTTTATTTTTTTGGGGGGTCTGGTTGTGGGACCTGAACTCTGGGCCTGGGCGCTGTCCCTCAGCTGTTCAGCTCAAGGCTAGCGCTCTACCACTTGAGCCACAGTGCCACTTCCGGCTTTTTTCTTTTTGCTTATGTGGTGCTGAGGAATCGAACCCAGGGCCTCAGGCATGCAAGGCAAGCGCTCTACCACTGAGCCACCTTCCCAGCCCCCCAGAGGCCTTCTTGAGGTAGCCCCTGGCCCAGGCCTCACAGCCTGGGAAGATGGGCGCTTGCTGCGCAGACACGGCCCGTGTTCAGGGGATTGAGCTGCTTTCTGGGCAGTCAGGGCACTTGCTTGCTAGCTTTCCTTGCTTCTCTTTTTCTCCCTAGGTTTTTGATGGTCAGGTGTAGAAGCTAGTGGGAAAGGGATAACATTTGGGTGGGGAGGGATAGATTGCCATTTCGGCCCAGTCCAAGAGAAGCTCAGTAGCCTCCACACTTAATTGACCCCTGTGCCCTGGGGCCTCAGGCCCTCCCCTGCCCTCTGGCCCAGTCTGGTGCTGTCTTGCACTGGGGCTGTCGTGGGGCTCCAGCTTCTGCTGACCTTAGTGAATGAACTTTCCTCTTGACAAAAGACAGGCAGGACAGTGGGGAGTGGGCCTTGTGAATGTGTCTCTTCAACTTGGCCTGGACCTCAGGACCCTCCAGGCAGGTGGGTGCCCAGAGAGCGATAACACAGAAAGGCTGGGGTGCACCCAGCCTGGGCCTCACCACCATAGGACTGGCTCTAAGGCTGGTTGAAAAGTTCTGGCTTGGGAAAGCGGTTGGATTGTATTGTCTGAACTGGCCCTTGTCACTTTGGCAAAAGAAGGGGAGAAACCAGGAGTGTCCCTGCATACTAGTCTGGGGTGCAATTTTAACTGCAAAGTGGGCTCCCCTCTGGGGACCCACTCTGCGAAAACTCTCTCCACTCCACGAAGGGCATCCTTCACTCCTCCCAGCAAACCTTAGAGGGACCTCTTTCTCACTGATCCCAAAGACAGCGGGGAACCCTGGTGGCTGACCTCTTTGCTAAAGGAAGTTGCTTCCAATGTCTGTGATGGGCTTATAGCATTTAAGAGAGGACACAACATGCAGAGCGGCTCAGGGAACTCCTGTGTCCTCTCCTTCTGGGAGTGGCAGGATACAGTGGCTCATGTGTGTTTTTGCTTTGACACTGAATGTAGGGCAGGGGCTGGGGAGCACAGTGAGGAGGCATGTGGGGTGTGTGAATGTGTGTGTGTATGAGAGAGAGGAAAGGAGAGTAAAAGAGAAGAGAGAAAGAAGAGGAGAGAAGAGAGGAGGGGAGGGGAGGCGAAGACAGGAAAAGTGAGGAGAGGAGAGAAAGAAGAGGAGAAGAGAAGAAACTGCTGGCTTGGGAAATGTTCTCAATGTCATTGAAATTATTGGCAGCTGTTTTGGTCATCCCAGGCATCTTCTTCCAGGCAAGTGGCAGATCTTAAAAGTCATGCAAACACAAGAAGGGGCCTTTGGAGCCTGTCTGGGTCTGTCCACATGCTTACACAGAGAGAAGCTTATACAGAAAGGCCACATGGCAAGAAAGTCTAGAATCCAGACCCAGATTCTAGCTGGTGCCCTTCCATACATGTGACTGGTGCATATGCGTGCGTTGGCCTGGTGTAGTGGCAGGCACAGGGGGCATCGTGTGGAATATTGTCATCCATGGCTTTGCAGGGTATAGACCAGACCAGTTCCTCAGAGCCACACCACTGGTTGAGTGAGGGGTGACAGCAAGCCATGAGCACTGGGCTTAGAGGACTGTGGATGTGTGTGTGCGTGTGTGTGTGTGTGTGTGTGTGTGTGTGTGAGAGAGAGAGAGAGAGAGAGAGAGAGAGAGAGAGAGATGGGGACCAGGAGTGGGGTGTGGGGTCTCCTCTTTCCACAGCAGTGCCTTCCTGCTAGCAGGAACCCCCCTGGAGCTCTTGGGGCCTTTTTCCTGTCCCTCCAGCTCTACACCCAGCTCCTGTCTCTCACAATGGTTTTTCAAAAATGGATTTATGTATTTGTTTTCTGTTTTTGTCTTTACAAGTTCCCTGCTAAATTTTAAGTCCCCCACCCCACCCCATTTTTTTTTTGTTTTCACAGTTTAAAGCTGGAAAAGAATTAAAAGAAAAATACTATCTGGTTTTCTTGCAATTAAATCCACTTATATATTTACATTTATTTATAGTCTGTGGTTTTTTTATTTAAAAAAAATCACCACTTGTTTTTCCTTCTTTTTCTTTTGTAAAAAGAAACCTTTTTGCAATGTCACTGTTGGACCTGCTGGGTCCCCAAAGGGGGCATCAGTGAGTCCAAGGACCCCCCCCCCCCAAAGGCCCAAAAGAGCCCCTTCCCACGAGGCTCGGAGCCTATGAGTCTGGGGGGGGGGTCAATCATCGCCCCAAGGTCATCAGTGCCTTGAGGTGAGGGGTGAGAAGGGAGAGCTGCTTTATATCCCCTGGGGGCTGGGCATCCCATAACCCGAAGAACAGGAGTTTGGGGGATAGTGACCCCATAAGGCTCCCTCTGAGCATTCCAGGGGAAGCCCCTTCTTCCCCCTCCCCTCCAGCAGTCTTCCCTCCCCCTTCCCTTCCCTCAAGGCTTAGGAAGTCATCACAATGGGCTAAGGAATGGGAAGCTGGGGCTGAGCAGCCCCAAGCCCACCTCACCTCTAGGCACCTCTAGACAGGGAGGGTCCAAGGGCTCAGGTCACCTGGAGGCCAATTGCCCCATTGGTGCAGGACGGAGCAGGCTCTGGAGCCAATCAGCTTCCCCGGGAGTCCCAGGCCTGCCAGTGACCACGCTCCCTGGCCCTGAGTCTCCACCCCCTACTCGCCCAGGGAGGCAGGGCCTTCTGGGGCTAAAGGGAACAGATTACTTTTTTATTTTAAAATTTTCCCCGTGTTGAAATAAAAAAAGGAACATAAAACCCGAATGAATAATAAGGACATCCCTCTTCCTCTCCATCCTCACTACTTTATGTGTTATGTTATTTGCTATTATTATTTTTTGCTTTACTGTTATCTTGGTTCCCTTTTATTTTTTTCTCACTTTTTTTTTTTTTTTTTTATTAAATGTTAAAATAATGGTACATGGGAAGTCATGCATTTTCTTTGAGATTTATTTTCTATTTAACCTTTTGTTTTTAAATCCCTCTCGCTTTAAGTGTGTTAAGTGTTTCCTCATTTAGTTTTCTCGAGTGGCCTGTGGCTTGCTTTGTTCCTCTTCTATTATTTTGTTAATTTACTTGTTATGTTTCTCTCTTTTTTTGTTGTTTTTTCTGTTTTTTTTTTTGTTTGTTGTTGTTGGTTTTTTATGTCATTTTCTGTGGGGGGGTTTTTTGCATGTGGAAGGTCTCCCGTGGGTGGATTTTCCCCTTCCCCTCTGCCTGGACTCTGCGCCTCCCGGTCCGGTCCTCCCCGCTACGGCCCTCCCTCCCCCAGGCGGGCAGCCCCCCGGCCGAGGTCTTCAGACGCAGGTCTTCCTGCGGTTGGCTATGTTGGAATGTAGCGAGTCCTTGCTCTCCTTGGGGATACAGTTGTGGACTTGGAGGAAGCTGTTGTCCCTGTCCGAGTTGTAGGTGGCGGTGGGCGTGGTGGCGGCCTTCAGCGGGTCCCAGCTGAGCGTGTACATGGAGATCTCGATGGATGGCAGGGTGTTGAAGCCCTTGATGCTCATGGGCGAGGCGTCCCTGGAGTGGGAGGGCTCGGTGGAGCGCGAGCTGGAGCGGCTGCGGCGCTGGTAGCGGTAGCGGTAGCTGGGGATGCGGGTGATGGCCGAGGCCTGGAGGTAGTCCATGGCGCAGGCCGTGGCCCGCAGCTGTTTGTGGCGGTCGATAAACATGTGCACCGCCAGCACCCCGACCATCTCGGCGATGATGAAGGACAGGGCCCCGAAGTAGAAGGACCAGCCGTATGAGTAGCTGTTCTTTTTGGAGTCTCTCTTGGAGGAGTCCCCGGCATTGGCAGATATGTACACTATGATGCCAATGATGTTACTCAGACCTGGGCACGTGGCAGGATGGGCGGCAGAGACAAGGCCGTTAGTTCTGGGGTGGGCATGGCGTGGGGGTGAGGCCGCTGCCCCCCTATCCCCCTCCTGGCCTAGGTTTTCACAGTCAGAGCATCTGTTCTTGTGAACCTGTCTGTCCGCCAGGGATACTGCAAACGTCATCTTTTCCGTTTTTCTTTTTGTGCCCGGACTGGGACTTGAAATCGGGGCCTGGGTGCTGAGCGTTTTGACTCAAGGCTGGCGCTCTACCATTTGAGCCACAGCTCCACTTCTGGATTTTTTTTGGTGGTTAATTGGAGATAAGAGTCTCACTGACTTTCCTGCCTGAACTGGCTTCAAATCAACATCCTCAGATCTCAGTCTCCCTAGTAGCTAGGATTACTGGTGTGTCCGGCTCAACTTGGTAGTTTAAGTAATTCAGGGAGCGCTAGGATGGGAAAGGCTGATAGAGATGAGGAAGCCAACATTTCACACACAATCAGCTGAGTAGCAATAATGCTTACAATAAGAATTGAAATTGCTTACTGAGTGCTTTACAAGCAACTTGCAGACCAGGAGACAGAAGATCACAGAGGTTTCTCTCCGTGTAATTCTGTCTCCTGGAAGGAGCTGTGCTGAAGGCAGCACAGCTTTGCAAGCAGGTCTACCTTGGTTAGGCATGGCTCCTGGAGACAGATGGCCTGGCTTCAAAGACTAAGCCTTTACCTGAGTTTCCTGCTCTGTAAACAGTCGCCTTAATCGAGAGGACTGGTTCTAGAGATGAGGAAAGGATGGGAATCTGACTTGAGAATGTTCAGAGAATCCCTCTGCATGTGGGAAGTGCTCCGAGGTGTTAGTTTTATTCAGTGGCTTAAGTACAATCCCTGTTCCTTTCTGGGCATCTGAAACCAGTGTATCTCATCATACAATCCAGCTCAGAAAGCTGGTTGTGGGGGCCTGGCTGCAAAAGTAGGGGTGAGGGAGGAGGAGAGTCTTCTTTGGGCTTAGCTGGGTATCAGGTAGGGGCTCAAGAAATGATGGGGAGCCCGATACTGGTGGCTCATTCCTGTAATCCTAGCTACTCAGGAGGCTGAGATCTAAGGATTGTGGTTCAAAGCCAGCCCAGGCAGGCAAGTCCATGAGACTCTTATCTCCAATGAACTACCAGAAAACTGGAAGTGGCACTGTGGCTCAAAGTGGTAGAGCACTAGCCTTGAGTGAAAAAGGTCAACACTCAAGTCCTAAATTCAAGCCCCAAGACCGATAACAATGACAAAAGAAAAAAAAGAAGAAAAGATAAAAAGAAAAAAGAAAAGAAATGATGGGTCCCCTTGGTTGCCCCCCACTCTGTCTGCTGGATTTGCATGGGCAGAGCATGTAGGATCAGGCCTGGTATTTCCAAGTGGTGGGGAAGATGGTCCAATGGGCAGCTGGGGGGGGGAAGGGGGGCTGAGATTCCTGGGGGACTCAGTGAGGGCTCTATAGAGCCTTCCCTTGAGACAGCCCAGGACCAGAGATGTCCCTCACCCCAGGTCCCCCAAGCCTCCTAGCCCTGCACTTGGGGGCTTCCCTTATCCCTCTGCTGGCCCGCCCACCCGGTGCGCTCACCTGCGGACACAAAGAAGATGCCGGCACTCAGGATGATGTTGTGCCGAGTCTTGTAGAACTCCCTGGCTGCAATGCAGAGCCCACCCATGAAAAGCAGAATCACGCTGAGGATGGGGAAGATGCTTGAGGCGCTCACGGCCCCTGCAGGACACAGAGGGCCAGGGAGAGAAAGAAAGAAGTGACCGTGAGGCTGTGGGATGGGGGGTAAGGGGAAGGGAATGGACCACAGCAGTCAGGCCTTCTAGGACATAGCCTAGGTCCGGGTTGCTTAGCAACAGGAGAGAGGGCGGGAGGGAGGGCCACTTTCCTTCAAGAGCTTTCCTCTAACCCGGAAACACAACAAATCAAAGAAAGGTTGGTGAGTGTAACAGGAGTAGCTTCCTCCACTTCCTGTCCCTTTGAGTGGCTACATAGCCACGAGGTTCTGTCTAGACTTGTTGTTGTTGTTCTGGGGCTTGGTTCTGGAACTTGAACTCTAGGATTTGTATCCTTACTTGGCTTGTTTGCACAGGGCTGGAGCTCTACCACTTCAGTCATGCCTCCAGCCTGATTTTTTATATGGATTTTTCCTCCCTGGGCTGACTACAAACCATGATCTTCCCAGTCTCTGCTTCTTGAATAGCTAGAGTTAAAAGTATGGGCTGTGCTGGGTGCCGGTGGCTCACGCCTGTGATCCTAGCTACTCAGGAGGTTGAGATCTGAGGATTGTGGTTCCTACCTGGGCAGGAAAGGCCGTGAGGCTCTTATCTCCAATTAACCACTAGAAAACCAGAAGTGGCACTGTGGCTCAAGCGGTAGAGCACTTGCTTTGAGCTGAAGAGCTGAGGGACAGCACCCAGGCCCAGAGTTCAAGCCCCATGACCAACAACAACAAAAAAAAGTATGGGCTGCTTTTGCCTGGTGACTAGACTTTTCTAAGAGGGTTCACTGCAATGTGTGACATGAGAAACCCTTACTTGCCCCTCATCTGCAGCAAGGTCCAGCTGCTCACTGATGCTCTGGAAGAGAGGAGACCTGGTGTTTGTGGTTGGGAGACTTGCAGGGTGGAATTGTGCACTCAGGCTGGCTGCAGGGGCCAGAAGCTGAGGGCAAAGCCGTTGGTTTACCCAGCAGCCTTAGCACCAGAGGGCTAGACCCTGGTGGGGTATTCTCCTCCTACAAGTCACCTCTCAGACAGTGAAAAGTATCTGCTCCCAACTTGCTCTCCAGCCTAGGCACGGCCACCCACACCCCCCATGACCACACAGACACATGGCAACTTGCAGCTATCTATTCCTTATCTTTACAGGCACACAGGGGTGATAAGACCTTGGGGAGGACCCTGGGGATGAGAGATGACAGTGCACTCTTGGTATCTACAGGTGCTTGGCTCCCAGAAGACTGTCACTGAGGAAAACCTGTGCATGCTTAGGGCAGAGCTCAGTACACTAAAGTTCTGTGGGTATAGTAGGTATGAAAATTCAAACTTGAGAGAGCATGGAGACGCTACGTTACTGTCACAAAAATGGCAGTTGTGTACTTTAATTCTGCTCACCAAAGACTAGATCTTATTTCATGCTCTTTGTCTCAGCACTGAAAATGCTTCATTCATTCCCCCACCCCCCACCATGCCACCTGACTTCTCTTAAAAACAAGCCGCCTGTCAACAAGTCTGTAATTTTCACTTAAGTGCTTCAATTAAGCACATTACATGCCCTTTTTGGCTCAAGAGGATGACTGTAACGTTCACCTTGCTCGTTGGGAGGCAGATTTTCACACAATCAAGGGCAGGGAAACATTCAGCAGATCACATAATGATTTAAACACAACAGGTGATAACAGAGAGCTTCTCCCCATTCTCTGTCAAAACCATGTACAGGACTGGAAATGTGGCTTAGTGGTAGAGTACTAGCCTTGAGCAAAAAAGAAGCTTAGGAACAGTGCCCAGGCCCTGAGTTCAAGACCCAGGACTGGCAAACAAAAGCAAAAACAAAACCATGTGTAGCTGGGTGCTAGTGGTTCATGCCTATAATCCTAGCTACTCAGGAGGTTGAGATCTGAGGATCATGGTTCAAAGCCAGCCCAGGTGGAAAAGTTCATGAGACTCTCATCTCCAATCCAGAAGTGGTCCTGTGATTCACACGGTAGATCACCAACCTTGAGTGTAAAAAGCTAAGGGGTAGCATCTAGGCCCTGAGTTCAAGCACTGGTACTGGTGTACACACGCACACACACACACACACACACACACACACACACACTCAAAAACCATGCATAACAAATGTACAAGTAAGGTGGACTTAATGTATCTATCCAGATACAAGCTGTGAGGGTGCTAGGTGGTGTAGCCAAGGCCTGTGAAACTGAATGGGGAACAAGAACTGTGTGTGTGTGTATGTGTGTGTGTGTGTTTGTGTGTGTGTGTGTGTGTGTGTGTGTGAGAGAGAGAGAGAGAGAGAGACAGACAGACAGACAGACAGACAGACAGACAGAGGGAAAAAGGAGGAGGAGGAAGAAGAAGTAAAAGGAAGAAGAGGAGGAGGAGCAGGAGGAGGAGGAGGAGGAAGAGGAGGAGTGCTTTTGTCCCATTCTAGATCCTGAACTGGCTATTTGTTCTCTATGCCTCCAGGCTGTCCAGAAGTCCTCCTGCTGCCCAGTCTTCTCACATATCTCTCTGGCTGTTCATGGCCTGGCAGCCTTAGACATTGTGCTTGTTGTTCCTTAGCCTAAAAAGCCCTTCCTGGGAGTTTGTGCAACCCCCACCACTCCCTCTCCGCTCCCTCCTTCATCTCAGCCTATTGTTACTGTGGCCATGAGCATCTGGCTAGTCTTTGTCTTTTGCACTCAGCGCCCAGTTCCAGGAGGCAGCGCTAAGCAATGACAATGGCTAATGCGGCCTGAGTGCTTCCTGGGCTGCAGGCTGGAGCAGAGAACTGTCTTATTCTAATTCAGTCTCTCACCTGGGGGGTACTGGGACCATTACTGAGGAAGCCTAGGACCAGGGTGGCTCAGGGGAGTGGGAAGCAGCAGGGCTGCAGCTCGGCCTGCTGTAGTACTTTTCTCTCCTGCCTCCTAATGGCCACAATCAGGACACTTATCTCCCCTTATCTCCCAACACTCACCCTCCTGCACACTCTCCCCTCACTGCCTTCTCATCTCCAGCAGGTGGTCCGGTGTGCATCTCCACCTGTCCTTTGGCTGGTGGCACCTGACTTGGGAGAGCCTGATTCTTTGTCAGCTTGTTCTTTTCCTCAGGTGTGTGTGTGTGTGTGTGTGTGTGTGTGTGTGTGTATGTGTGTGTGTGTGTGTGTGTGTGTGTGTGTGTGTGTGTGTGGTCTGAGGCACCAGCCCCTCCCTTTCCCCACAGGAAGAAGTGTGGCTGAGACAGTAACCAGCTCTGGTCTTTACCCAGACCTCCAATTCCAAGTTGTTTCTATGCAGAGGGGAGACCCCATCTCACACTGTAGTTCTGCACTGTGAGTGTCCCCAAGAATGTATTTCTAGGCCCCGTATATGGTATGTGTTTAATATATGACCATGGAAAGGAACCAAATTGGTCTGATTCTCTTCCCTCAGGCTAAATCATACTGGGACATCTAAGGAATCCCAGCTCCTATCTCCTGGACACAAGAAACACACCACAAAGGGACCCACAGCACACAGGACTGTATCTAAATACATATTTGAACAGAGACTCAGATGTGGGATCACAGGCACCCAAGGACACAGAACACAGCACTGACATGGGGCACACAGAGACAGAGGCACCAACATTCCCACAAGAGGGGTCCCTGACTACCCCCTCTATGCTTCACCTTTATCTTCAATCTTTGGTAGCCAAAGAAGAGGATAGGGACAGCCAATGGGTCCACTGCACTGGGTGAGACAGTGACCACCATTTTTTACTGGGGGAGCTGGCAGTAGGTGGGATGGGACCTGCAGCACCACATCTTCACTGGACCTATGTATTGTAGGGCTAAAGTGGTAACAGGGATGCATGGGGCTCCTGGGCTCTGACTCAGGCTATGGATTTCTCAGACACTTTTAGGGCTGGAGAGAAAGAACTTTGATTTATCCATCTATTCAACAATCTACCCCTTTACTCATCTACCCATCCACCCACCCATCCATCTATCCATCCATCCATCCATCCATCCATCCATCCATCCATCCATCCTCTCTCCCACTTAATCATCTATCCACTCATCCAATCACCCATCCATCTATCCACCCACCTACCCACTCACCCATCCAACTATCCATCCACCCATCCACCCACCCATCCATCCATCTATCTATCCATCCATCCATCCATCCATCCATCCATCCATCCATCCATCCATCCATCCATCCATCCATCCTCCCACTTAATCATCTATCCACTCATCCAATCACCCATCCATCTATCCAAATACCCACCCATCCACCCATCCAACTATCTATCCATCCATCCATCCATCCATCCACACACCCATCCACCCACCCATCCATCCACCCACCCATCCATCCATCCATCCATCCATCCACCCACCCACCCACCCACCCATCCATCCATCCACTTATCTATCCATCTATCCATCCAGCCAGGTGTTGAGGACATTTTCCTTCTTCTAGGACCTTAAGAAACACAGGATGACATCTGAGGCTCAAGAATTGAGCCCCATTTTCTGGCCGTTCTAGCCTATGAACACAGGTCTCCTGTCCAGACTTGCCCTCTGTCATCCTCTGCCCTCTCTCTTTTTCTTCACCTCTTGATGGTGAAACAAGACACAGGAGTCATTCCTGGACATCTTATTCAGTCTCTTTCCTGGGCCTCCTCAGCTTCTTGACCTTTGACCTTGGGTGTCCTGGGGCTCAGTGTCTGGGCCCCCTCTTTCTTCTCATACTGCTCCCTCAGTGGTCATCAACCCTCATGGCTTTAAACTATCACTCACAGGCTGATAGTTCCAGAGCCCCTTCCTCTGCCCTGGCACTCCTCAGCCAGGCCTGCACGGAGTGCCAGACACATTCCAGCTCCTTCTGTAGGCATTTCTCACCCAGAATGGCCCACACGGAGCCTGGTCTCAACCTGCTGTCCTACTCAGGCACAAGCTTGGAATCATCCAGACCCCACCTTTTCCCAGGAACCTTCCAGACCACACTGTCCCTTGCGAGACTTTCTTAGCCCTTTATGTCGCTGCCCACCATCTCTTGTCTCGATCATGCCCACAGCAGGCTCCTGACCTCTCTACTCGCCCTCATCCTGGTTTGGTCTCGTACAAACACAGCAAACAGAAGGTCCTGTCCGAAGGTGAGTCGGTGGCCCTCAATCTCAGCCACTCTCTCTCCAAGACCTTGCCACAGCCCACAGGGTTGCCAGGGCCTCTCTTCACTGTGGTTTGCCCACTCCATTCTCAGTGCCCTCAGTCCTGTGCCTCAAACGTTCCTGGCACGGACCTACACCAGGATCTTTGCATTTGCCAGTCCATCCTAGAACATTCATTCCGCAAATAGCCACGTGGCTATTTATTACTTTGAATCTTTGCTCAGACTTCTCAGTGAGGCCTTTCTTGATACCATTCCTGATCTGGAATTTCTTGGCCCTTTTATGCTTGACTTTCCCCCTGTACTTGCCATAGTTTAACCCCCCCTCCCCACACACACCTGGTCTATCTGTCTATCTTTCTCCATAAAATCTGAGTTCAAACCCAGAGCCTAGGTTCTGTCCCTTTTTTTTTCTTCAAGGCTGGTGCTTTACCACTTGAGCCACAGCTCCACTTCTGCCTTCTTGGTAGTTAATTGGAGATAGGAGTCTCATGGACTTCATTGCCTAGGCTGGCTTCAAAATGTGATCCTCAGAGCTCAGCCTCCTGAGTAGCAAGGGTAACAGGTGCGAGCCACTTCACCCAGCCCGAATATATAATGAATTTGTTTATTTCACTTATTGCAGAGTTTTGTCCCCTGAGTGCTGGTCTTTGGCTTTGTACTCCAGACTTTTACTTTATTGTTTGTTGTCTAGCTTTGGACTAGCCTATGAGAGACCCCGGTCAGCAGACACTGCCTTAGACAGACTGCTCCCTGCCTTTGGGAACAGACTTTGGTTGGGCACCTGTGCATCAATTGTGCCTGTGGCTGCTCATGTGCCCAGCTGCATCATGGGGCTGTGTTGAGACCACGTGGCTTGAACTGCCTGAACGATTTACTTTCTCATCCTTTCTGGAAAAGTGTTTGCTGAGCCCTGTTAGAAATGCTTAAGAAATACTTCCAGTTCAACCAATGTGTGAACCTCCTTTCTGCCAATATGAACCCATGTCTTTGGGATAGGGGTGCTCAGATGAACCAAGACCCCAAACTCTGCTCTCTTTAACAAGAGGTGTAGTGTGGCAAGAATTGGCACCAAAGAAGCATCGTTAAGCACCTGCTGTGTTCTGGGTGCTGTAATGAATAAGATAAATTTCCTGCCCTTAGGCCCTCCTTGTGAGCTCCAGAAAGCATATCAGATCATCACTGGGCTCAGCCAAGTGACAACTGGGCCCTAGAGGAGGGGCTCCCAATGCAGGGGTCATCTTGGCTCTCTCCTTCCCTACTCAATGTCCTGGTCTCATTTTTTGTTTTGTTTTGTCTCTGTTGGTTGTGGGGGGTCCTGGGAGCTGTCCCTCAGCTCTTCAGCTCAAGGCCAGGGTTCTACCACTTGAGCCACAGCACCACTTCCAGTTCCCTGGAGGTTAATTGGAGATAACAGTCTCACTGACTTAACTGCTTTGGCTGGCTTTGAACCATGATCCTCAGATCTTAGCCTCCTGAGTAGTAAGATTATAGGCGTGAGCCACTGGTGCCTGGCTCCTGGCCTCATTTATGCCAGGACTTCCAATGCGGGGGTCATCTTGGCTTGCTCCTTTCCCACTCAACATCTGGGTCTCATTTTTTTTTGGTCGGTCGTGGGGCTTGAACTCTGGGCCTGAACACTGTCCCTCAGCTCTTCAGCTCAAGGCTAGTGCTCTATCGCTTGAGCCACAGTGCTACTTCCAGTTTTCTAGTGGTTTACTGGATGGAGATAAGAGTCTTATGGACTTTCCTGCCTAGCCTGGCTTTGAACTGTGATCCTCAGATCTCAGCCTCCTCAGTAGCTAGGATTACAGGTGTGAGCCACCAGTGCCCGGCATGAGCCTCATTTTTGCTATGCTATGTTCCCCAAGCCCAGCTTTTCTCCAAGGGCACTCCCAGAGATAGCTCACTGACCCATCTTGGCTTCCTCCAACACTGAGCAAGGGCCTCGTATATATCAGGTGCTCAATGGATGCTTACAGCACTGCTAAGCTTCAGACTGGATAACAGGTAACAACCACCAGACAGCCCTTTGAGAATGCCATTGAAGAGCTATGTTTGAGGGAATTCCAAAATGGAAGCTACCGGCATACTACGACTCCTTCCCTCCCTCCCCTTATAAAATCTATAGAGTGCATCATGTTTCTTTCCTCTCCCTTCCATCCCAGTGTCGTGGCTGGCTTTGTGTTCTGTGTATGGGCTTCTTAGTGAAATCAGATCCCAGGTTGTCCTGGGAGCTGGCTTTGATGTGAGGAGGAATTATTGAAAGAGACAGAGGCGATCTATATAATACAATGTCTCCTACATTTTTTATACGTGTGATGGGTGGTGGGGGAGGGGAGGAGAAGAGGCTGGGCGGTGGGGAAGGACTCAGCTCTTGGGTTGCGAGAGCACGGGTCTGAGAGCTTTTGGCTTTTTTGTCCCAGGCCTCAAGGACCCTCAGCCCTTCTCTGGGAAATCCTTTCTCAGGGAACAAGCAGTCTTGTTAATTTTTTACTGATGCTTGAGAAATTTCCTTGGGGCCTCACAATACTTTCTCTTGATAATATGTCTCAGATGGATTTAAGATCACTGCTGAGGTTTAACTCTGAGGGTTTAACTTTGATTTGACTTGCAGGGGAAGAAAAAACATTCTCTCCCCGTTCCCCCGCCCCTCTTCTCTCCTCTTTCTCTTTCCAGTAGAAGTTCCAGTCTGGCACCGGTAGGTTTCTTCTTTGAAATATTTTTCTTCTGAGCCAAACATTGTGCTGGGAATTTAATGGGAAACAAGAAGGGAGATCTTTGCCCCACAGATTTGGGGGCTGATTCCTCAAACAGAAGGGGACCTCACAGCACAATAAAATGCTATGCTCTAGAGGCTGAGCAAGGGCTTCCTGGAGGAGGTAATGTTTTAGTAGAGACCTGAAGGATGAGTAGGAGTTTGCTAGACAAAGAGGGGAAGAGAAGGGTCTCATCGGCAGAGGGAACAGAACTCATGCATGCACGTACATATGCATGTGCATAGGTTAGCCCTCCTCAAAGGAGGAAAGGAGCTTAGCACAGCCATTTCCAGCCCGCGGCCATGGTGTGACTTAGATAGCCTTGCTCTTTGGCTCTCTGAAGGATCAAAGCACAGGACCCCCCCTCTGCTCCCTCTGGGGGGGGGCAAGATGAAAAAGCTGTATGACTCACAGAGGAAATATTCTGCTGTGTCGACTTCGTAGTCCACATCCTCTGGGAGGTGATCGATTTGCTTGCACAGACCTTTGAAGTTTCCTGCAAGACAAGGGAGAAGGAGTGCATGAGCCATGGGTACTTTGCCAGGGGGCTTGGGGTCCACCTGCCTCTTCCTGACCTCTCACTTTTCAGCAGCTCGCTCCAGCCCCTCCCTGGCCCTGGGAGAAATGTATTGCTTTGTCTGTTGGCACTTCTGCGGGGTGGATCAAAACACACTGGCCAGAAGCCCTGCAGAGAGGATCTGGAGCTCAGACTTCAAAACCCAGCCTCTTGTCCCTGCAGCTCTGCTTCTAAGGATTAGCTGGGGTTTGACTCTGGGCAGGGTGGGTCCTGTGCTTGGGGGATGGTGGATGTTGTGGGGGGGGGGAGGAGGAGAGGGGGAAGATGGAGGGAAGAAACTGAGGCTCAGTGGGGCAGATGAACAGAGTAAGGGCTTGTGACTAGGAAATAGAACATTTCCTCCGTGTTTGCTGAGCACATACTGTAAGCACAAGGCCCCGGCCTGCCCTCACCAATGTTCACTGAGCTTATGAGTGAGCTACGAAGGCCACCTTCACAGAAAGTGTTGAATGCCATTTATAGTTGCCAGTGTTGGTTTTAATAGCCAAGGGGAAGGCAGAGTTAATGCCTGTTAACTTTCTTTGAGTGGGAAAATAATTGAGCCTGTGCTGATATCCTGCGTCAGAGCAGGTTTCTATGGTCAGACCATCTGGTCCAGCTTGGCTTCCTGGAGTTGACTCAGTTTCCCCATCTGAACAGAGGCTGGTGCATTTAGTCCTTGGAGACCAATAGGAGAGATGAATGAACTTGACTCTGTCTAGTCACTGATGTTTGGGGCTTTTTGTGACTAGTGTTTATTGAAGACAGTTCCTCAATATCTGTTAGTAATTAATTTTCTTATAGAGTCCTGAGACTCCACGCCTTGTCAAATACTGCGCACTATATATATGCCAAGTGTTTTTCATCTTATTTGTGCTACTATTGGAGCTTGAATTCAGGACCTCATGCTCTCCCTTAGCTTTTTCCTCTCAATGCTGGTGCTCTACCACTTGAGCTACAGTTCTACTTCTGTCTTTTTGGTGGTTAATTGGAGAGGAGAGTCTCTTGGATTTGTCTGCCCAGGTTAACTTCAAACTGAGATCCTCAGATCGGTGCCTGGCTCAAAAACGTCTTGAGTGCTAGTGTGCGTTGTTGATGTGGTGATCTTCACACCTGACCTCAGGTGAAGGGTCTCGGTCAGAATGTTGGCACGCTGAAAATATTGTAGGAAATTACCTTCAGACTGGATGTTTAAGGTGTGAATGACACAGAGATAGACTTCCTCTTTAGACCTGGGCCCTGTCTCCAGGCTGTATCATTATAGATAGATGCAAATATCCCAAAATCTGAAAAAAAAAATCTGAGGCCTAAGTATTTTGCATGAGGGCTGTTCAACCTGCCTTACGAATAGTTTAAGATAGTGTATGTGCTCTGTATGCACATAGCATTTAGAGCTTTCTAGTATTATTCTGTGCTATACATTTCACAGCCTCCGGCTCTTGTTCACGCCTGGATCTTCTCTGTCCCAAACTTTCCAACTTTCCTGATTTCTCTCAGAAAGAAAACTCCTCATAGGCCATTGGGATTTTTGGCCACTACAGAAACTTGGAAGGATCAAAATAGGAACCCCAAGTGCTTTGGGCTTTGCCCTCTTCTTGCTCACCCTGCTTGCCTTCTTGTCTCCCCTCTGTCTTCCTGCATGTCAGAGTGTCAATAGGAGGCCTGGTTTGCCCCCAAGACCTTATTCCAACCACACACCTGCTCAGCCTTCTCTGTGGGAAAAGTCTTTATGGGGCCATGAAGGAAAATTGTTACAATTTCACATCAGTGCAGCTGAAAAGCGCTGACAATTCCATCTGACAAACATTAAGCAGGCACCAATTGGTGGCTGGCGACTATGACGTTGGTAACACTGGAAGTGACCCCCTGAGGATGCAATACTGGCCTTTCCGAGGTGCCTTACAAATTGGGGACAGAGCCAGACCCAGCACCAAGGGCTCAAGAGTAGTTCTTTTCTCTCACCCAAGGACCCATCACTCCTACCTGGCTCCACCACCCCTATTCCCAACAGCCTGGCTTTCCACAATCCCCTGTCTCACTCCTGAGTGGGCAAGTGGCTCCCAGCACAGGGTGTGTATGGAGAGGCTGCACCAAGCGTGGACAGCAGGTCCACTTCCGGTCCCACTCCCAGTCCCATGCCTGCTGATGGGTCTTACACAGAACCATACGCTCAGCAGGACTGAGGCCCCATGAGAGAGCTGCAAGCACCTCTCCTCTCCATGGCTCCCTTGGATCAGAGAGAGAGTCTAGCCACGAGAGCCCCTGTCACCATCCAGGCTTCTCCTCTTCCTCACTGCCATCCCCGTGTCCTACCCATGACAGCACCCCAGTACTTGCCCCTTTCTCTCCACAGACAGCACCCCCAACCCCTGGATGATACCCTAGCCCCTTACTTCTGCATTTATTACCCACTCTTCCCCCCCCCCCCACAGCATAATCACCAGAAGCCTTTAGAAATACAAATCTGAGTATATACCTCCAGCTTCACACACACACACACACACACACTTCCTTGGTGCTGGGTATCATTATCAGGGCTGGTAGACCTACCTTCTATCTCTGCCTTACCTCCCACCCATTTCCTTCTTTCTGAACCTTGGCCTTCCCTCATCCCACAGGACTCTTGCACTTGCTGGTCTTGTTGCTCAGGCTCACCTGCTTTATTAGTTTCCTTCTTCCACCCTTCTTCTCAGTGTTAGTGGGCATGTCTAACCACCACTGGCTGCTCTGTGTGTGTGTGTGTGTGTGTGTGTGTGTGTGTGTGTGTAGGGGTAGATGTTTAGGTATTTGTGGTGCTCAAGGGAACATTCCATTAGAGGGCAGATGGATGACTAAGGAAGGAGGAGGGAGGTAAGAGGATGAGGCCCAGGACACAGGGATGCTAGGGGTGACGTACCCCAGGAGGTCAGGTAATATGGTGCCAGTGGCCTGTGATGCCTTTTTCCTGATGCAGCAGGAAGCAGGATAGGTTATGGATGGGCTGGTGACTCGAGGAAGGAGGAAGGGAAGGGACATTTCCCCTGTGAGTGTAGGCGGGGCAGTAGATCAGGCACCCAAGGGAAGGTGACATAGTATATGTGTGTCGGTGGCTTGAAGGTCCCTTCGAGAGTGTGTGGTTTTTTCCAGCCCCATCCAGAGTGCAGGAGTGGCTTGGTTGGGGGCTCCCTTGATCAGGAGGGGGCTCACATGAGGTGAGTATAAAATGGTGAGGTGAGTGTGTAGGATCTTGGGGCTGGTGAGCTGCTGGGCTTTAGAAGCCTTGGGGGTGGAGGTGGGGTCAAGTCGGAGGCTGCGGGAGTGAGCTATCAGGGTGAGCCATGATGGTCAGGGAGGGAGGTTTGAAAGACAGATTGTGGAGTGGTACAGTCACTGGTAATGCCAAGATCAAGGGTAAGACCAGAAGCATAGCTGTCTCTGGATGGTACTCAAAGAATCTGGCAACCGGAAAGGTCGCAGGAATTAGCAAACAAAATGAGGCAAAAGCGTTCCCTATTATTTTTCCTGTGTATGTCAAGGATATATATTCAGAAACTGCCTACCCAGTTAAAAATTGAAGTGCAAACGATTCATCAAATTATTCTAATAGGGCGCAAATCATTGGTTGGTTTTGTAGAAATTATTGGTGTGATCTTTTGCTGATGAGGCTGTCATGGGCTAAATGATGGCCCTGTCTGGTGGCGATCTGACATCGGGAGCTGCACCAGATGCGTCCCCAGCTTTCCTGGAGGAGGAGGAACCGCTGGGGCTGAGGACACACCATTTCCTAATTTGTTCTGGAGGACCTGCTGTGAAAGCTGGCCCAGGCCCCAGGAGGCATGCCCAGCACACAAGATGGTGTGTGTGTGTGTGTGTGTGAGAGAGAGAGAGAGAGAGAGTTGGGAAGGGGAACAGGGGGGAATGAAGGAACTGGAAGGAACTGGGCTGAGGCTGGATGAGTTTCAGAGGCAGGAAGTTGGGAGGAGGCAGAGTTATAAGGATGGCCTTGGAACAGTCAGGAGCTACAGTGAGCAGCAGGGAGGCTGGGCATGGGCAAAGTGCACCCCATGTGAGAGACTGCAGTAGCGGTGGTACCCCTGAGAGCCCAGGTATGGCTACGGGCAAGAATAGAGGAAGCTGAGACTCAGGAGATTCCCCTGGCATTGGCACATAAATTACAGGGGCTCAGAGAATGGATCAGGGTGTTGGAGACTGGGCTAGCTTGGGGGAGGGGGTGTGTGTGATGAGGCTGTGAAGGTTGGCTGGTAGAGAAACTGCCTACCCAGTTGAAAACTGAAATGCAAATGGGCTGGGAGCCTGCAAGCTGGGCAGTGGATTCAGACTGAATAATGAGGCTGTCCAGGCTCACAAAAGTGGCTCACGCACTGATGGTGAAATTTAAATTCCATAGCACACTCATATGGGCAGACATCATTATAGTCTGTGAAGAGTAGTGTGATGTTTTCACAATGCCAGTCTAGAGCTCCACTCTGTCTCTTTCTGGTTGATGGTAATCAAGGCCACAATTGGGATGGCTTCAGGCAAAGATGGATCCAGGTGCTCAAAACTCTGGCATCTCCTTCCATTTCTGGCTTTGCTCACAGTTGTCCTCAATACTTAAGCAGCCATGGTAGAGAAGATTGCCTAAGTGCCAGGCACTGGGTGATAGGTCTCACCTGAACCTCTGCCCTTCATGGGCTCATAGTCTAGAGGAGAGAAAACAGAAAGTAAAGGATGGACTAGAATGAGTGTCTCACATTCTGTTTTAGAGGGACATATGAGGTCTTATGGGAACACAGCACAGCACAGCTTTTCAGATAAGTAACATTAATGTAGCATCAACTCTATGCCATGCTGTGTGTGTGTGTGTGTGTGTGTGTGTGTATGTGTGCGTGTTCATGCAAGTGTGTGTTTGTGGGAGGTAATGCACTGGTGGGGGGTGTGAAGGGATTTCTAGGGAGAGGGACCAGTGAGAGGAGAGCCAGGAAGTGCTGGAGGTGCAGGGGTGGGGCAGTGGAGGAGGGAGGTAGGGCAGAGCAGCTTTCCCAGAGCAGAGTGGGGACGGCAGGACTGGGCATGGAACATGCAGGCCATAGGCCGAGGTGTGCTGGAGCAGGCTTGTGACTACCCGTGCCGTGGGAGCTTTGCTTCCTAACTCACACTGGTAGCTTGAAATCAGTGCTGAAAGAATGTTGACACCAGGGGAACTGACCTACAAATCAAGGTCAGACTCAAGGTCAGCCACTTCTAACTCTTTGCAGTCCAGAGAGCCAGTTAACCCTTCACTAGAATCCCACTGGGTGAGGGCAATCCTAGACAGGACAGCTTGGGGTGGTGGGGTGGGGTGGGGGGGGAACTGAAGACTTGCAAATAAAGATCTGTTCCTTTTGGAGGGTTTGACTGGGTGGGGTAAGGGCAGACAACAGCTGGGGAGGGGCAGGGGCCTGATTCCACCGCTCCAAGCTGAAGGGAGGAGCAGGACTCACTGCCCATTCCCCACAAAGGCTGAGCAGCCTGCTTGGAGGATCAAGGGCTGCCTTGAGCTATCCAACTAAGTGGCTGGACCACCAGGAGCCTCAGCTGATTCCCCCAACCCAGAAGGGCAGAAGTGGTGACTTCAGCCACGGGGAGGTGGCATGGCCCTTGGCGGTGCCTCAGGCAGCCCAAGCGCTGCCTCCTGGAACTTCCTGGGTTAAGACTGGGAATTTGGGCTTGCAGGTATTAAGTGGCTTAAAGAGACGTTTCCATCAGCTTTGTCAAAAGCACGTTAATATCTCACAACACCAACTGCTGTCTTGTTTCTCTAGATACAATAAGCTCCCGGTAAACCTGGTCATTAGGGGCTGTATGCGCTGGTTTATTTTCACATATTCATGAGAAGTAGAAAGAGCTGCCCCGGAGCCAGGAGTAGGCCCAGGGAGCTGAGTGGCAGAGGCCAGGGAGGTGGCTGCACAAGTAATTTTTTAAGTGAGGTAAATGAAGGGTTTGGAGGTTGCTGATTCCTTGGTGTTTTCAACCATCTTTTTTTACTCCTGGCATTTTGCTTTCCTAGCAGTGATGCAGGAGGCCTCGGGGTTGGGGGGGGGGTGCCTGGCTGGATCTCCAGATCCCAGCCCAGCCTGCAGCCCCCATGGTATCATGTGGTTTAGTAATAGGACGGCCCATGTGGCAGTGAATGAAGGTGCTCCTTAGATGGCTGGCTCACTCATTCATTCATTCACCTGCCCATTCACTCACTCACTCACTCACTCATTCACCCACTCATTCATTCTCACTCACTCATTCATTCATTCACTTGCTCATCAACTTACTCATTCTTTTGTGTATTCAGTCATGTGGTGGGTGGTTGAGCGCCTCCTGTAGGCCAGATACTGGGCAGTGTCTGGGCAAAGTTGAATGGGATAGAACGTCTCTTCTGCCTGCCTGCCTTCCCTGAGTTTGCTTGCTCCTCCTGTTCTGGCTTGTCCCCTCTCCGTAGCCCTCAACATCTGGGCTGCCCACAGCAATAAACTCTTGCTCATGCATTGTCTGGTTGTACCTGGTGGTGGATTTCATCCCCATAGAGGCTTCTTTCTATAGGTTGCAGGAACTAGACAGAGCTGGCTTCTAAGTCTGGTTCTGTTAGTGATCAGTTATATGAATTCAAGCAACTCGTGTGACCTCTCCAGGTCTCAGTTTCCTTTGTGTAAGAAAGTGATCTTAATCCTGGCACAGGGCTTGTGGGAGCAGGGCTGGGGGGAAGTCAATCTGAAAGATTCAGGCTGGGAAGGTGGCTCAGTGGTAGAGTGCTTGCCTTACATGCAAGAGGCCCTGGGTTTGCACCACATAAGCAGAAAAAGCCAGATGTGGCACTATGGCTCAAGCAGAGTGCTCACCTTGAGCTGAAGAGCTGAGGGACAGCACCCCAGCCCAGAGTTCAGGCCCTACAACAGACAAAAAAAAATCCTAAAGATTCAATGAGATAATAGAAGCAAAAGACCCCCAGGGGTTCTAACCCAGAGGAGGAGCCCAACACATGTAGCTCTTCCTTCTGTTTCTTCTTGAAATGCCACCTCTCCCAGGAAGCCTCTCTCCATTGCCCTGGGTGGGAAGGATTCTTCCATGCTCTCTGGCCGGGCTTCCTAGATTTTAGTGGGCATAGGAATTGCCTGGCGCTCATCCAGACAAGACGTGGGTTTGCTGGGTGCAGGGAGGGGCTGGATGCAGCCTTTTCATTTCTCCCAGGCTCCAGGCAATGGCCAGGCTGCAGGGTCCCTGGAGGCCCCCATTTGGGGTGAGTGACCACCGGGAGGGCCATCTACTTCCATCCTGACTGTCCTGGAGCTGCTGTTGGGGAACAAATGGCTCTAAGTCTGTAAACTCCTCCAGGGCAGAATTTCTGGTGGGGAGGTCTCTGAATAGACCACATTATCCTTGATTCGAAGATGCTCACATGCACATTTTAATGTTTTAGAAATCAGATGTGTTATTGATCAAGTTCATTGACTTCAGCATGTGGCTTTTCTCCTGAAAGATCACTATATTATATCGATGATGTACCTTTTAATGATAACACCTACCTGACCAAAGTTTACAGAACACAGAAACAAATAAATGAGCTTGAGTGTGTGTGTGTGTGTGTGTGTATACATGTGTGTGCACATGTAGGCAGAGAGCACGTGACACACTTCCATTCTAAACAGATGAGCTTTGTGTCAAATATTAGAATCCCTGGGGCACGAGGCTCTTTTGTACTTCTCTTATCAAAAGCCTACTTGACAATGCCAGGACATAGGTACATGCCACAACTCAGCAATTTCTCTCAGAAATGTGACTTAGAGAAATGCTTGCATAGATGCACAAAGAGACACATAAGAGGATATTTCTATCAGCACAGCTTGTAACAGCAAGGAACTGAGAACAAGCCACCTTTGCTATTGCCAGAGAGGGGTAGCACCTTGTAGTAGATGAGTAGGACAGGCTGTTGGCAGCAGTGAACATGAATGGAAGCTAGCGACACATGTCAGCACAGATGAGTTCCACAAATACAACACTGAACAAAGAAAACCATCCCGCAGAAAAGTACACAGAAGTGTGTTTTTTTCTTTCTTTCTTTCTTTCTTTCTTTCTTTCTTTCTTTCTTTCTTTCTTTCTTTCTTTCTTTCTTTCTTTCTTTCTTTCTTTTCTTTGTTTCTTTCTTTCTCTCCCTTCTTTCCTTCTTTCCTCCTTCCTTACTTCCTTACTTCTTCTCGCCCCCCTTCCCTTTTTGTTGGTATTAGGGCTTTAACTCAGGATTTGGGTGCTGTCCCTTAGCTCCCTCACTCAAGGCTGATACACTACCACATGAACCATAACTCCAGTGCTAGCTTTTTGGTGGTTAATTGAAGATAAGAGTCTCACAGACTTTCCTGCCTGGGCTGGCTTTGAATTGGGACCCTCAGATTCAGTATCCTGAGTAACTAGGATTACAAGTATGAGTCATTAGCACCCATCTATGATTTTATTTTTATAAAGTTAAAAACACTGGACCCATGGTTGGGTGCATGTCTAGAATTCCAGCCATTTGGGAGGTTAAAGATAACAAGATTAAGCTTCAAGGCTAGCTTAGGCAGTTTGTGTGAGACCCTATTGAAATGTAAGCTAAAAGCAAAAGGCCTGGGTGTCAGGAGATAGATGGGGGTCTCATCTTCCTCCCGTTGTTTTGTAGGCAGGTATTTTTTTTCCTTCAGTTGTTGGGCTTGAACTCTGGGCCTGGGAACTGTCTCTCAGCTCTTCAGCTCAAGGCTAGAGCTCTACCACTTGAGCCACAGTGCCACTTCCTGTTTTCTGAATGGTTTAGTGGAGATAAGAGTCTCATGGCCTTTCTTGCCTGGGCTGGCTTTGAATGGTGATCCTCAGATCTCAGCCTCCTGAGCAGCTAGGATGACAGGCGTGAGCCACTAGCGCCTGGCTCTAACCAGGTATTCTTTGTAGCTAGGTATTCATCTTTCAGTCTGGTGTTTCAGCTAGTTCTTGACTTTCATTGAAGCCTCCAGCCCAAGTAGTGTTGAGCTAAGTGCTGTGATCGAGAAGGATTCCCTGTCTCCCAGGATGAGGGTCCAGTGAGGTCAGACAAATGACTGGACAGAACCACAGTGAAAACCACAAAGCTGCCCTGGTGTAGGCTGTCCCCTGGAGACTGCCACAGGCCAGGTTCAGAGCCAAGCTCTGGACTCAAATTGTGAGAACCCAGCCGGGCAGGTTCTAGTGTCTTCTTCCCATCAGGCACATATGGACACAGAAGCCCAGAAAGGCAAAGGAATCAATGGAAGAGGCATTGCTCTGTGAGTGGAGGACCTTGGCTCTGACGCTAGGAATGGATTCCAGGATTCCTGGCTGCTGGAAGCAGGTGGCTGTAGCAGTGGTCAAAGGGGTAAGGAAGGCTTCCTGGAAGAAGCACCATCCCAGAGGAGCTATAAAAGCAGAGTAGAAGCTAGAAGACGAAAGGTAGGCAGGGAAGGGCATGGGAGAGGAAGAGGAGGGTGTTAGGGAGAAGAGCAAGAGGCAATCAGAGAGAGAGAGAGAGAGAGAGAGAGAGAGAGAGCAGGAGTCTGGGCCAGGTGCCTTGGTCTGTTTGAAGGCTGGAGCTAGATGGTTGGTCTGTATATGTATGTGTGTGCACACAAGCACACATGCATGTGTGCACATGGGAGAGAGTGTGACAGGGTTGGGATTACTCAGAATCATTCTAAGTTTAAACTTTGGCCCAGTGAGGAGCCAATGAAGGATTCCAATCAGAGTTTCATGTGACACAATTGCACCAGGTTAACACCAGGGTGCCTGAGAGGAAAATGGAGTAGAGGGACACACCTGTAGTCAGGCCCAGGTTCCTCTGTGAAGCGGAGACTTGTCTATGGCCCTGCCTTGTGCAATCTACTTCCAATTTCTTACCACAGATGTCCCCACACCCTTCCCTTGTTGGTTCTTGTTCATTGCTTGGTTCATTCAGCCTGGTGGTGGAGAGCCAGGCCAAAGTCAAGCATACTGCAGGCACGGCTGACCCACAGGTCAAAAACAGCTCATGCGACTCAGATCCATAGAGGATGCCCAGTGATCCACCTTCTCCAGACCAAAAGCACTGCCCTGCTCCCAAATCCTCAAGATTTCCATGGCCTCCAGAGCAGAGACCAGGCCTCCTCTAGCCACAGGGAGCCAGGCCCAAGGCTTCCCATTTTCTCTCCTGCCAACTCTTCAGTAGCTCTTCCTCCCAGCTGAACAAAGCTCTCTTCTCTTCTCCATCTAAAACAAGGTCTGTCTGTTTCCTTTGGAAGGCAGAACAAGGTTCTCAGGGTGGCAGTAGACAGGCAGAGCTATGTCTATCTGAGATAAACGTGTATGTGCACGCGTGCTGGGGCTTGAACTCAGGGCATTGTCTCTGAGCTCTTTTGCTCCAGGCTAGCACTCTACCATGTGAACCACAGCTCCACTTCTGGCTTTTTGGTGGTTAATTGGAGATAAGAGCCTCACAAACTTTTTCTGCCTGAGCTGGCTTTGAACCATGATCCTCCGATCTCAGCCTCCTAAGGATTACAGGTGTGAGCCACCAGTTCCTGGCTCTGAGATACAAACTTTAAGGGGGAACAGTGAACACCTCCTACTTTGACCTGACTTACCTCACCCTAGTGCTATGTGGGGGAGACTTCGGGTCTGTAGATGGGGAGTGTTATGGGTTCTAGAACTGCCTCCCATGGTAGAGCTGTCGGCCATGGCAGGGATTCATAGAGTTGCTGGGATCCTGAGTTCCTTGCTCGTGTTCAGAGCCAGGATTCTAAGAAGCCTTCCCTCATTCTTGCAGTCCACAGCCACCTCTCCCTCCTTTCTTCTCTGCTTTTACCTCCAAGATCTCTCAGCAGCAATTAACCACAGGCAACCTTGTGACAGTTCTTGTGTCGCTGTCTTGTCTTGTTATTTCAAAGTTCATGTGTCATTTTCCTAATAGAATTGTGTCGAGGACAGGGGTTACATTTCATACTCTGTTCTCTCTCTCTCTCTCTCTCTCTCTCTCTCTCTCTCTCTCTCTCTCTCTCTCTTTCTCTCTCTCTCTTTCCCCCCTCTCTCTTTCTCTCAGTGTGTTGCGAGACTAGTGTGCCAGGATTCCATGTCTCATCTGATTTAATGACCATATTAATCTCCTGATGGAGGCTCTGCTGATGAACCAATTCTACAGAAGAGAGACTAGAAGTTTGCAGAGTCTGCCAGATAGATGCTAGCTTGTGTGTGTGTGTGTGTGTGTGTGTGTGTGTGTGTGTGTGTGTGTGTGTGTGTGTGTGTGTGTGTGTGCTAGTCCTAAGACTTGATTTCAGAGCCTGGATACTAACCTCAGTTTTTCTGCTCAAAGCTAGTACTCTATCACTTGAGTCACAGCTCCAACTTCCAGCTTTTTGGTTGTTAATTAGAGATAAGAGTCTCATGGACTTTCCTGCCTAGGCTGGCTTCAAACCTTGATCCTGAGATCTCAGCTTCCCAAGTAGGTAGGATTACAGGTGTGAGCCACCAGCACCTGGCTGCTAGACTCAGGATAGAGGCTGTCAGACTACCTGGCT